CGAGTTATATTATATTTGCACCTAAAAATAACTTCCCATATTCAATTGAAAATAAATGATCAAATAATTCAAGGGAAAAATAAAGAAAAATATCTCGGTCTCATTTAAAAAAATACCTTAATTGGAAGCCACATATATAAAAAATCAAATCCAAATTAATATCCCTTTCGGGGCCTCTTTATGGCTTAAGTAAATGTCTTACTATACATTCGTTTCGATACATCATTTATAATTCTTTGGTTAAACCTCATATTGACTATTTAATCAAAATTTGTGGGACTGCAGCTAAATCAAATTTGGACTTAATACAAACAGCGCAAAATAAATTATTTAAAGTTTTATTTAATTATAAATTCCGAACACCGACAAAAAAGATATATGGTGATACTAAAATAATGATTATAACACAAACTTATAACTACTACGTCAGGCCATGATACAGCTCAGTTATTAAGCTTCCGGGTTCAACAAAATAAATCAATAAACAAGATATGTTTTAAATATCCTAATAACTAGTAATACAAAAGGGATTATAATTTAAGTAATGTTCGGAAATTCAAGGAATGTCTAAATAATCTATCATGGTGTGAAACATATTTAGAAACCGACTTGAACATTGCATTTAATAAATTTTATGATTTATTTTGCTTATTTTATAACCTATGTTTCCCAAGAATAAAAATACTAATACAAAATAGTAATCAAAATAATTGGATTAGTAAAGGTTTGAAAAATAGTAGTAGAATAAAAAGAGCACTGCGGTATCGATACTATAAAAATAAAACTAAAATAAATAAGGATACTTATAAAAAATATTCTTATTTATTGAAAAAATGTATCTACCAATCCAAGAAGAATTGTAATATAAAATTTATAAGTAAGAGTAAAAATAAATGCAGAGCAACATGGTCCGTAATAAAAAAAGAAATTTCAAATACAAAATTGTATAATATTAAGGAGTTAAAACTAAATGATAAAAACCTAACGAACCCTTACGATATAGCAACCGCTTTTAATGACTATTTTATTGACGACTAATTATATTATAACTAATAATGATAACATGGAAAATATTACACCTAAAAATACAATATCACTATCAAACTCAATGTTTCTTAAACCCATGTCAAAAGATGAGGTGAGTAAAGAGATCATGTCCTTAAATAACACTGCCTCGGAAGGTTACGACGGAATTAATACCAGAATAATTAAAGCTTGTGTATGCAAACTTGTTGACATTATGACTTATTTAATTAATTTATCATTTTTGACAGGAAAATTTCCCGACAATTTAAAAATTTCAATTGTAAAACCATTGCACAAAAAAGGTAAAAAAGACGATATCAACAATTATCGACCGATTACTCTTATACCCATAATATCAAAAGTTTTTGAGAAATGTTTTTATAAGAGATTAATGGAATTTTCTGAGAGGTTTAACATAATCAAAACAGAACAATATGCCTTCCAGAAAAAGAAATCTACAACGCTAGCAACTTTTAATCTTATAAAAACAATAATTTCTAGCATAAATAATAACCTACTAACAACAGGATTATTCTTTGATTTAAGTAAAGCCTTTGACTTTGTCACACATGGTTTTCTTTTAAGTAAATTAGATTTGGTTGGAATTAGAGGGATAGCTCTAGAGTGGATTTCATCTTATTTATCAAATCGACGGCAGTGTGTCGTTATTGATAAAATGGTAAAAAATGAAATATTATCCTTCTCATCTAAGTACAGAGAAAAAAAATATGATGTTCCTCAAGGTAGTGTTTTAGGGCCGGTATTATTTCTTTTATACATTAATGATATAACTCTGGCGACAAATCACAAAAGTATATTGTATGCGAACGATATTTTCGTAGTTGTAACATCTCAAAAAAAAACAGATAATATAACTAATTGGCTGCATAGAAACAATATGAAAATAAACCTAGATAAATCAAATTACATACATTTTAATAAAATAAAAACTAATTCTTGTCTAAATATCAATAAAATTAAGGAAATAGAACAAATTAAATTTCTTGGTGTAATTATAGATCGAAATTTAGACTGGAAAATACATATAGATGACCTATGTCAAAGAATTAATCGTTTTGTGTATGCACTACGTACCATAAAAAAGGTAACTAATAAAAAAACGGCCCTATTATGCTATCGGGCGTATATTGAATCTATACTTCGATATGGTATAATAATGTGGGGCAATAGCATTGATTGGCGTAGGGCATTTATCGCACAAAAGAAGTGTATAAGGACGATATGTGGTATACCAACTAGAGAATCCTGTAAGCCAATATTCAAAAATCTGTCTTTACTAACTATGCCCTCGTTATATATTTTTGAGATAGGTAAATTTGTAAAACAGCATACATATTTATTTAAAAAGTCATCTGATATTAATCCTAGACTTAAAAGAAATCCAAATAGATTAGTTCTAAGCGAAGTTCCGAAGTCAGCTAAATATAGTAAATGCTGTTTATCAATGTGTGTACGTATATACAACAAAATACCTGATGAAATTAAAACACTACATAATATGAACGTATTTAAAAAAAGATTGTACCATTGATTAATTGACAAAAATATTTATGACACTAATGAATTTCTGACATTTTAGACTAGATTTTGACATTGTAAAACATAATTATAATTTAAATAAAATGTTTAATTTGTTAATTTTAATCACTATATAGGTTATCTTGATTTAAATGTAATTTGCATGCTATATTATATTAAAATAGCAAAACATGTGGGCATAATAAGACTGAAACATCTGTATAATTACCATGTTTTATGCAAATAAAGACTATTATTATTACTTATTGAACTTATTATTACACTTTTATACTGATACATAAAATAATCAATAAATACGCAATGCGAACTACGTAACTAGTAACACGTCGACCCAGAACAAATTACGGAAAAAAGAACATTGAATTTGAAGGTGTCAATATGTACAATAAATTACCGATTAATATAAAAGAATCAAAAAGTATGTACCATTTCAAAAAATTACTTAAAGCATATTTATTAAGGTCACATTAATTAATAAATTATCATGCATACGCATAAACGTACGCTCCGATTGATGCCACTTCTAGCCAATTGCAAGATCCGTGTTTGCTCGGTTGGTGTTATTAATTTGTTAATTGTTGCAAGATTCGAAGACTACCTACATACCATATTTGTCTTATTAACTTATTATATACAATATTCAACTGTACGCTGAATAGTATGTTTGTTAAATTTAGTTTCTCAGTAAGCGAATTATTGTTAATTACAAATGAGCAATAAAGTTCTTAAACCATAGATACGCCGGTATTTCTTTTTGTAGAAGAGGGGGCAAACGAGCACGCGGCTCACCTGATGGTAAGTGACTACCGCCGCCCATGGACAACCGCAACACCAGGGGAATTGCAGGTACGTTGCCGGCCTTTTAGAAAGGAGTAAGCTCTTTTCTTGAAGGTCCCTAAGTTATATCAGAAATTATGTGAGAAATTGTTTGTACCTAGGCCGAGCCGACTGGGTCCATCAGATCTGCGGTCATCATAATGCTACAGTGCGAACTTTTCAGATTGGTTTAGAAAAGGGTTAAAACATAAAATAAAATTAATTATACAAAATTTTCAATTATATTAATTATATAGAAAATAATATTTGTTTTGTTCGTATTTTATGCGCTGCTATACAAGTTCATCAGATTGCGCAAAGGTAGTAGGCATAGTTGGACCCGATAGACGGCGCTGTTGTAGAATGAAATGTCCCGTGCGAAGCCGGGGCATATCGCTATCGCTAATGTAACATAAACTATTATAGATTATGTACAGTTCAAACTGTATCGCACATGCAAACAGCATTGGCAATGGAGGCTCCATTTTAATTTTTTTTTAACATTTTCTCCCACGATATTTTTATCATTCCAGTGGTTTTGACCGATATTCCAATCAGTCTAAATCCATTTGACTTTCCAATAATTTTATATTTTTACATTCATAAAATTATGTTTTATCCTAGTGTTAAAGATATTAAATTATTCATAGATGGGTTATCAGTTATCAGTCATTCAATTCAACATTCAACATGCCAATTGACACAAACTATCTAATTTATTTTACACCTTAGTCATTGAAGTTTTCGAATTGAATCTTAGTCAATTATTGTAGAAATATACAAAAAAGAAACATTTATTAATGAATAGTAAATCGAGTGTACATAAATTGATTTTTAGAAACTTATAATATATACTGGTGTAGTGGGTTATTTCTAAGCAGGTTAGATTGGTTTTGCTATTAAACAATACATGTTGGGTGCACCAAAGGAATCAATTACGGTGGTTAAGATTTTAAGACGTTTCCTGTTTATTTCCAAAAATAATTTAATGTTTTTTTTACTAATAATTTACTGCTTTACATTCTTTAGATGCTACATTACTTTGAACCTAAAATAAGAATATCGTTCAATTTATAAATTAATGTCAAATCATGTTAATGATTTTTAATGATACTGAGTGTTGTTATAATAAATTGAAAGAGCATATTGTGTGTGGCACTGTTTCGACTCATGAAAGGCGTCAAGCTTTACAAAAAAATAATGCCGTTTAATGGATATTCTCGTGGAAAAGGGGAGAGGGGACCGTTGAGTATTCTTGCAATTCAGCAAGCAAAAAAAAAAACAAAAATGTTGTTAGAATCATATTTTTATTTTTCACACTGTCATTTTTAATTCAATCTGTTTGCATGTCATTCATTATACATGCTATTGCAATGCTCGTAATATTTTTCGTTGTGCATTTTTTAAACTTGAAAGTCTGTAAATTATTTTAATATTTACATAATTTAGAAATGCGTAACATGCCGAACGCACTTATTTTACGGGAAGATTTTAATAATTGTTATTTGCAATGCGGGATTACAACTGCTATTATGCGTCGGTCCCGCGGAATGCAGGACAGTTGGTCACAATTGAAGTAGTTTCATTAGGAATTGACCTTAATTCATCATTGTATTGTCATCGCAGTTTTGGTATGGAACACAAACACCATTTTTACGCCAATATGTCGGTTTGCATCGACAACGTGGGTAACATTCGACGGCTATTAAAAATAAACCAAATTGTGGACATTCTCCGTTCGGCGTTGCTTGGCTGCAGTCATCAGTGGGACAGTACGATGGACAAGAGTTGTACTCTTCGTTTGGTTTTGAACACTCGAAGGCAGCTTTAGAATAAAAAAGCAGATAGCTATTAATTATCATAATACACCATTTTTATTTCCTTAACAAATTCGTATTTACATTTACAAAATAAATCGATTGTTTTTATTTAAGTCGTTAAGGCCCGTTTTCGGGTATAGGCTTTCTCCAGTTAATGCTAATGAAGCTATTAATATTTTACAAATATTTGAGTAAATTAATCATAAACTACTTTTTGTAATAAGGCAATAGTTTAGCAAGTGTAAGACGACGCAGCGACACTTACACGATTTACCGATAAAGCATGGATATGTAGGGGAGTTATACATCTAAGCCATCTGCGGTCTCGTAAATCAATTATTAAGTAGAACTACGTGTTTGAGTGTTGACGATATAATTTCTAAACGTCATTTAGAAGCACGTAAAGTAATTTATGTTATCGTTTAATAGATATTTTGCTGCTTCTAACAACGTTTATTTTAGAAATTATATTATTTAATGGTTTTAACAACATAATATGTATCTACCTGTGTACTTCTTATTGTTTTTCTATATATTATATTATATACAAAATAAATTACTATAATTTCTGAAATACATGACTTAGATTTTTTTTATATTTTTCTGGTAACTAGTATGGCCTCGCCTATGAGAAAGTTGACGTCGACTTCTGGGACACCCGATATAAGACCAGTTTTTTATTTACCGTGTGGTGGCGGTATAAGAATATCACATACCCCAAATCGTCCTGTGGATGTTGTAAGAGACGACGGAGCGAAACACATCAGGAGATGAAAATAGCGGCTCCTTAGAAAAAACTAAAAATAATTAAAAAAAAAAATCTTTTAAAAAATGTGGTTGCCAACCGTTTGCCCAGCGTGCCAACTGCGCCTGTATCCCTCTATAATGCAATTTATGGGGGGAGGAATATGTTCACCAGGGACTCTAACAGGTTTTAAAGGTAACGAACGGTATATATTACTATTTTAAAGTAACAAAAACATAACAGTCCACCTGATGGTAAGTGGCTGGCGCCGGCGGCAACTTCGAATAAAGAATTTCACAGATTCGCTGTCACTTCTGAGAAGAATAGGGAATTGGTAAAATTACAATAAGAAGTGCTAATTTACCACATGCTCGGCGGTTAAGGAAAACATCGTATGGAAAGCTGCATGTCTAAAGAATAAAAATATTGGAAATGCATGTGTACTGCCAACAAGCACTGGAGCAGCGAGGTGGATAAATTCTTCCATAATCCTATCAGAAATGACAGAAGATCTGTGGCTGGAATTAGAATATATATACTTCTAACTATGTTGTAATTTTACTGTTATACTTTATGAATATGAATATACGAGTATTACTTACGGCAGTTGTTTGTTGGTATACATGTTCCATTTTGTGCTCGGCGATAATTAAACTGGCATTTGCATTTTGGAGGAGGGCAGTTGTTCCAATCTGGACGGTTGCAGTTGATAAACTCACCATCCCGTGTTGGACAGTGGTCGCCGCAGTCGGAGGGGCACTCGTCTAGTACTTCATTGGGCCCGCATTTTACGAAGCCTTAAATTAACATTGTTTTGTTGTTGTCATCTTTATTAGTTTACAAACCCATTGGTATACCTTGCTCTTAGAAGGGAGTATTTGTCCGAACAGACAACTAAATCAGAGAGCAGCATTGCGTGGTGGACGTGATTTTTTGAGGTGAGAATGTTAAAATAATTCTAAGACAAATAAAAATCGAATATAACGGAAACGGCTTTCAAAAAGCGGAAAATTCTAACAATATGGTGAAGTTATTTATTAACGCGTGATCCGCCCTGGCTCCACCTAGGTGGGATCTAGGTTTTTTTTATAGGAGAGGGGGGCAAACGAGCATACGGCTCACCTGATGGTAAGTGATTACCATCGCCCATGAGCAACTGCAACACCAGGGGAATTGCTGATGCGTAGCCGGTCTTTTAAAACGGAGTAGGCTCTTTTCTCGAAGGTCACTAAGTCGTATCGGTCCGGAAAAATGTATAATTAAATGTAATATGTATAATCAAACACCATTTAATAAAAAATATTGTTTTTTTTTTCAAAAAATATTTCCATATTTTTGGTTAAAATACATATCGCTTCTAATATTGCTTATTACCTGTGCGCGAGGTTTAATAACAATTGGTTTAGCCATTCCAAAGATCAGCCCCGACAGACAGACAGAGAAGAAAAAAGAATTTTTTTTAAAATGGTTATTCATGTTTTTGTGGCATGAAAGTAACTCCCTTCGGTCAATATAAGGCAGTCATTTCGATATTACACACAGAAACTCCAATTTTATTTAAAAGTATAGATATAGATTATGGTATCAACTACCTAATTAATAACAGATTAAAAAAAACATAAATAGAACAATATAAGTATAAAATATAAGTACCTGCGTACGCTGTGGAGACTGAAATAATAGCAACAATCAAAATTACCTTCCGCATTTTTATGTTGATAATAGAACTATAAGTAACTATAGTATTTATACAAAAATATTCGGGGAACTTCCAGTATTTTCTTTAACAGAACTACACCAACCGACTAAATCAGTGTCACGATGTACATTAAAAATTATCACAATTTACAAGCATATATGCACGCTGTATGTGTTCGGGGAATCCCTCACTCCTAAAACTGACGTCGGACATTCGGGTATTTGTCGATTGTAAACAGGATAGGTAGTATGTTTTTCTAAATTTAAAAGTTTATTACTAGTCTTAATATTTTCCTGTCTACGTTTAACTAATAATCTTACTTATTTCTGTTACTTAATAGCAGTACTTGTACTTTTTACTACAGTGTTTTGTTCTGGGGGTGTATAGCCAATGTTATTACAGAATGAGGCGTGATAAGAGAGCTCACACCGAGGTGAAGGACCGGCTCAAGGTGGGCATTCCGAGCGGGCTTAGCGAGCATATTTCGGTTGTGTGTCGGACTGAGAGACCTGAGGCGCCGCTCTCTCTACTCTTCGCAGTCGAACTCGAATCTTGGTAGGCGCAGGTTGATGTTGGAAACTGTGGAGGAAGGCACGACATGTGTTCTCGTACGCCTTACTTGAGAAGAAAATTGGGGAGGAAATATCTTCGCCTAGGCAGGGTTGCCATGGAACGGCCGGCGCTAGAGGGGCCGCGGTTATGTGTGAAAGCGTTCCTGCGGCCCTGCAAATATCCGGCGAAGGTGTAATACCATGGGGCTTTAGTCGGTGTGAGTCCGATATAACACGAACATGCCCCCGCAAGGTGGGTAGGCATTTCCCCATCTAAAAAATACTGTCCATGTCTGCAATAGCAACTTACCATCAAGTGGGCTGTAGGTTTGGTAATCACTTTAGTTTAATAAAAAAATACTGAATATTATGACGCCTATATGATAAGATCCTAAGTAGACTGATATGCAGTGCTGGGACACGAAGGACATCCACAATAAAATCAGAATCGACAAAATAAATACATTTTGGTTTCAGTTGGGATTCGAACCAATGACTCGCATTTAGAGTTATAGTTTTATGCTCTAAACCAAGATCACGTGGTAAATTCACATTTAAAACTGCAATTATTGATTGTACCGTCGGGGTTCGAACCCGGGTTACTCGTATAATGAGAAACTTAAAGCGATCGCTTAGCCCCTGATCTACTACGACCATAAAATATATGTATTATAGTATTCTATGACTACGACTAAAACTTCTGGTGTTTATTATACAAATGTACACATAGGATACCTTAGAAAACGTAATTGCGTTGTTACATAGGCAAGATTTGCAACGACGGCGGCCAGAATAATATAATTACAAATATAAAATAAACACAAATGAATGTTAGATATATAATGAGATGTGAGTTTTTACAAGTGCTTTGATTTTACTGGGAATATTTTCCACGTTTATTTTTTATATCTCATTATTTATGAAGTTTTGACAAACTGTATTGGCAAATAAATATTTTGTATACTAGTTAATAACTAGTGGTCACCTAGTCGTTGTACGTCACTTTCGATATTAGTGTAAATGTATATATTTGACCGTTAGAATCACAGAGTAAGGACATCTTTACTCATGTGGTTAGAATGGTACGCATTGGCTAGATAATCTATTTATTAAGCGAAATTTCACTTAAAGTTGCAAGTACCTACACTTTCTCTAGTTAGAAAATAGAAAAGAATTATATTTTTTTATTCAATATAGAACACATGTAAGTAATTCTTATTGAAAGTCATTTTTTACTCACTGGTTCGGAAAAAAAAAATTTGTCCTGGAAAGAACTAGCTAGTAACCCAGAGGGTTTTTTGGTTAAAGTAGTCATATTACCTTTTTTCTAAAGCTATTTTGACAAATGGTACTGGACATTTTTGTGTTCTTTTGTTTTTATCTACATATATTGGCCAAATATTACTGTCGTATTTGATTGGATTTTTAGTACGATTTGTACCTACTTGTTAAGAAAGTATATATATTTTAAGTTAAAGAGAACATAACTGTCTACGTGTTATTTGAGTCTAAAACAAAATCTTCACGCCAATAATTACTGTTTATGTTATTATCTACATGTATATAAACTAGTTTCACGACATGCGACGACCAACTAGGGCTATTATCCGTCCGGGTTTCCGTGGAATAATCCTATCATGGTATTCGAAAGGGTTTTACAATATGTCGGGGGGGACTCTCGAAGAAAATTAAAATACCTTTTAAAAATACCTATTGAAAAAGAATGATAGTTTAGAAAAAAAATTGGAAATTAGAATGATATTCGATCTCTTTAAAAAGGAAACTGCTTTTATATTGAAATAATTATTTAGGCTTCTTTTTTCAATACATGAAAATAAATTACTAATAGCTTGTAGTATTATAATCTTAAAAATAAAAACAACATACTTACATACCTAGATAATTTGTTAATATTTATAATTTAATAATCAATAACAACACAAATAACAATCCTAATTATTTTTCTTACCAAATTACCTTAAAACAGAATATTGTATAATTTATTAGTATTATTATTCTTCATATTCCTCATCAGCCCGTACAATAGTACAGCTGGACATGAACCCCCACGTTCTGTAGAGGATTTGCCTCCATATTTACGCTTAGCAGGAGAATTGACTGTTATAACCTTACCTAGTATATTGAAGATCACCTCAGAAACTTAGCAGCAAACACCACTAGAGGGAGAACCTAGAATGCTGAAACAGTTTTCTAGTCATTGTTTGTGAAGACAGTAGAGGCTTCTATCATAGGGATTATAGTCAGTCAAAACCCTTCATCCGTCGCGTTCGGAAGTCACTCGTTGTCCTAAATTTTATTGTTATTTCAGCGAAATCATACTAATTATTATTATTATAGACCTCAATTTAATCGTAACTCAACCAACAATGATCGATGAAAGGCAGAAATCTGACTTTTATGACTATTGTAAAATATCAGGGCTTTCTATAGAGAACTGTCGTAAACATACGAACAGAGTCCATTTTTTGGTGTGTATATGTGTTTATAGCGATTTACAGACTAAAACATGGAAGAAAAATCTGAACTCTACGTTTTATGGTTCGATTACTCGAATATTATTCATTTAGTGGATGATAAGCTCAAAACAGAAGCACTGTATACGAAATTTAAACAATTTTCTCGCAACCTATTTAAAATCTTTCTTCAAATCTTAAGTAGCGATAATATGGAATTAGAACATCTTATGAAACAAAACATTTTAATATCGCAAAGTACAATTTAATAATACTATATAGTTAGTTAATACAGATGTAAATAGTTTGAATTGCGCTCTCAAAAATGATTTGTAAATCTTAAAAAACTTGAATCAAACACAAATTACAGAACCAATGTAGTACCTTATATTTTATCCGCAAATTTAATTTTGAGGTTGGGTGGAGTCGTTGACGGGGTACTAGCGACAAGTTTATAGTATTCTTTTAGTTTTAAATGTATCGGAAAATACACAGCTTATTAGTAATATAGCGTAGTTATTTAAGTATTAAATTTGTTTTGCTATAGTTAATGTTGATTTTCTTAAAAATTACTAAATAAAACAACAGCTATTTCATTAATCAAAAAATGGAAATTAATTTTGTCCGGTATCAGAAATTTATACGGTGCCAATCCTAGTTAAGACGAAGTTATGATGTCACGTATACGTCCATAAATAATAATATAATGGGTGCGTTTGGCAGAAAAAAGCGCTAGCAAGCGCTTGTAAGCAAAATGGCGATCGTAAGCGGTAAGCGCTGTCAAATCGTAAGTAGCTATTTTCCTCCAGGACACGATGTTAGTTTTAACCGGGGAACCTAACCTAATTTAAATATATGTTTGTAAAGTATTCATATTAAAAAACTTACACACACACTTAGTCATTATATTACTTAAAACTAATATTGCACAAAACCACTTATAAACTCTACTTCAAAACAAAAAAATTAAATAAGCAAAATGGCGGATTGTGTCAGCGCTACCGAAGTAGCAATCGTGTCCTGGCCGAAAATTATTTCAGCGCTTATAATCGCTTGCTAGCGCTTTTTTCTGCCAAACGCACCCATTGTGTTTGCGAAACAGCTGTAATTGTAATTTGTTCAATAAATACGATTTTGTATAAATTAGAAGAATACAAAGAAAGAAAATTCAAACAAACCCAAACAATAATGAAAATACTCGCCTACCTGAGTAAAAAGTGTGATTAAAAGAAAAAAATAACAAATACTTTGATCTATGTAAATCACTTTGACAGTAGGACATTTAACGACACCCCATATGTTTTAAAATGCATCAAGCTACTTAGGCTATAGATCGTGCCAAAGAAATGGATATATACATACATATATTTGTAAAACATTATTCTCCTTCGGGGACAGTTGCGTAAAGGCTAGGACTATCAAATAATTAAATTATTTATAAATCGACGATTTGTAAAGCAAATGAAATGACCAGAACATAGCATGTTCTTATCAACACTAGATCTAGACTAGCTATAGTACGGTCAACTAGCAGCCGTCAAAGGTCAAGGTTATTTACCTTAAAAACGACTGTGGAGTTGACAATGTATTATATATCTCTTTCCATCTTGTGTATTTGTCGTAATATCTCGTTTTCCCGGCAAAAACATGTCAGGGTCAGACGGGTTCATCAACATTTGGGAAGCCATTTTGGTAATTGTTGTTTATTTAATTATTGTTATTTTTTTGTTGATTATTGTTTTTTATTAAGAGTGGTTAATGGAGCCACAACCAAGTACAGCGAGAGATAAATCAGCAGATTTTACTTCTCCGAAAAAGAAACTTCCAAATGTATGTACAGGAATAGGATAGTAGGATAGGTAGTTTTAACTAAAACTTATTGGTTAGGAGTGTACTTTAAAGTTATCTTAAATTTATTTAAAAACAGCAACTGTAATAATAAAACTTTTCTTAATTTATTAAAGATGCATGTAAGTAAAGTATG